TCTTTAAACTGGCCTGGAGTATTGCAAAATTCTCAACAAGCGAAATAAAATAAATGCTGAGCTAAACACGATAAAAGCCGCCAGTATCCAATCGCCATGTGTATTTCGTTTCGCGAAACGCTCTCGAATGAATGGACCCCTAAAGCTGTTTGCGAGTCGCGCGCTGATTGGTTGAAATTTGAAGACCTGTCAAACAGAGATCAGCAGGAAGATCCGAGACCATTTCTCACAAACGTTTCGGAAACGTTTGTGAGAAATGGTCTCGGATCTTCGTTCCCCCAGAATCGCGAGTTGGGGTAAAAAAAAAAGTACAGAAAGGAAACAAAAACGTGGTACAAGTCGCGTACTTTATCATTTATAAAGTGTATTTACTGAAAGACTTTCAATGCAACAGTCGCTCAGCCGGTGACGATCAAATCCAAAATCTCAAGTAGAGTCCACTCGGAAAGACTTGACAACTGCCGGGTTGTTACGTTATGATTGAAATGCTGTGGACTGGTGAAACAAGGTCATTGCAGAGTGGATTAATTCGGACATGTCGAACAAGCTTTACTGTTTCACTTCAGATTTGTCTGCTATGCACGTCCACTGGTCGTGGAATGAATTAAAAAATTGAAATTGTTATTTATTTTTCGCAGGGTTATTTTTTTTTTTAGTGAAATATATTTTTTTAAAACTCAGGCGAACATGCTTCGGAGAGTGAACCATAACGGCATCCCACAAACCTTATCCTGTTAAAAGTCACAGTTGATTTGTGTATTTACTATTCTTTGGATCTACGAGAATATTATTCTGTAAGAACGACCAAATACTCGAGAACATGCTAAAAAGACACCCTGAACTGTCATTCCAATATAAAGCTAGTATTTGCAGCCAAATGAAGAATGCATGTATACTGTAAAGATCTGGGAATCTGGACAATCAATTTTTGTTCAAACACAGCTTAAAACCAGCATTGCCATCACATGACAGTGAATGTGCTTTGTTGTGAAAATCATGACTGAATAAAATATAAAATCATGCTGAAGTAAAACATTTGATGCAACAGTTGTCACAAATTACTCAATGACGCCTGACTGTGATATGACCAAGTACCCGCGCTTGCGCACGAAATGCTTCTAGAATTGTAAACAGCATTGTAGCGATTTATCCATGCACTTAACTATCAAGTAGAGACTTTAACATCCATCACCCAGCCATATACCTGGCATTTGACGAATTTGACGTCAGTGGTTGATATTGGCTGTAAAATCATGTTTAAACAACCGCGGACGGTGATTCTGCTAGTATACGTTGGATCAATAATGATCTAATGGGCTTGACAGAGGAAATAGAGAATATAAAAGCAGAGAGCGATAGAACAAAGGATGATTTTTTAAGAGGTGTACTATATTTCGGCTGACAGTACAATGAGAATTTTACATCGGAAGGCCGGGGGTGTTAATGTAGTGATTACGGTATTTGTGTACTGAGAAATACGTAAAACTAAACTGATTGACAGTGTAGATTAAAGATAAGGTAAAATAATGAAATAATAACTTAATAACAGAAATATTGGGGCAAGGAATTTGACATCATAGTAGAAGAGCAGGGGGATTAAACCAGTTGCCCTCGAGATCGTGGTGAAGCTTGAAGTCGCCAAGAGACTACACCAGTCTTTGTAACGCTAGGGCTCGAAAAGAAAGGCCTTCAGAAGTGTTGTGCTGTGTAGGGAACCGTTAGAAACTGAAAAATTTGTAAGGGAAAATTCATGGGGACGAGGTTGCTGTGTGGGAAGTTAAGCTTGCGAAAAGTTAATCGAGGTGGACTTTTTTTCCATTACTCATTTTATCCCAGGCATGCCCTGGGGTAGGGGCATTTGATCGCCTACAATAACCTGAAGGTGAGGCATTTGGACGCCATTTTTGGCCTGGGAGAACGACTAATTTGGCCAACTAAAAGTGCAAAATGTCAAACACCGGGGGCCTTGACCAGGGGGTATGTTGAAGTTTCAAATTGAGTGTTACACTGGAGTATCGTGAGTAATCTGCGCTGTGGTGATAGCTCTCACCGGCTCGCTTCGCACGGCCACTTCTCTTGCTAATCTCTCATCCCCAGTGTACTCGTTTTCAAAAAAGACCAAATGAAACGACGGCTCCGGGGACGAGAATGCATCTGCTCACGCCGCAATGTTCTATTTCCGCACTCTCTCGAACAGCGACTGGTAATCGAGCCTACTTGAGAGCCTGCTTGTAGACGGAAATTTTCCTCTAACCTTTGCTTGTTCGTGGCGCTCGCATGCGATCACGCGTTCTTATTACTCCGGCCCAGGCCCTCAGGGCCAGGGCAGGAGTTGAAAATTCGGCTTGATCTGTAGTCGTCGCCAGAATTCTGCATTCTTGCGCAATAGTGTGACATAATCCCAGGGCGCTTTGCTGGCGAGCTTTTCCACGGACCTATCACGTGTTCAACGTGACAGGCCACGCTCGTGGAAAAACTTGTGGAAAAGTACTGGCGGAAAAGATCGGTGGAATACT